TGTATGATTTCACTCATAGCAGGAGCTTCAGGGATCAGGGGGAAAAGAAAAGAGAGAGAGACAAACAAATGTAATTGAGTGAAAATGAAAACAATGAACATCTATAAATCAGAGACATTTTAGGGGGTTGGAAGCAGAATGGGATAGGAACGGGGGTGGGAAGAATACACTGGATTGTGGTGATGGCATATGGGTAAATTGGAAAGCCCATGGGGGTTATAACTGAGATGAAAAAAATGCATAAAATGAAGAATGATGTAAAAAAAATAAAAATTATAATAATAATAAAAAGAATTGGTGTCTAGAGAGAAAAGTAGGTATTTATAATAATAGGTTCACAATACAACTCCTAAATTACTCATCACCTCATGGGCAAATGCCCAGACACTGGAGTCAACCCAAAGCAGGGCCACTGAAGCCCGAGGGCTTGCCAGGCTCAGACATCTTCCTACCCAAACAAGGGAGAGTAGACGAGCCCAAGCCCCAGGACACAGGAGAGAGCGCATGAGGATAACAGCTGCCAGCCTGCCACAGGGCTTGGACCACTGTCTCTTCCCGCCTCTCTCATCTAAGTCCCCTGAAGTCCCTGGGTAAGAGCCAAAGCCAGAGAAGCTAGCCTCCCCGGCCCTCTAGAGTGGAGCTTCTCCTGGCACTGGACTCTGCTTCTAGACCCAGTGACCCACCAGGAAGCTTGGGCCTCTGGCTAGGCCTCTGTCCTGAGTGGCTGCAGGGAGGGAGGTCACTGCACCCCCTCCGCCCAGCCTCAGTCCTGCTCCCTTTAAAGAACTGGCTCCTTCCATCCTCAAACGGCCAAATAAATGCTCAAGATCTCCTAATTTATTGGAGATGTTTACTTGGCTCTAAAAAGCCTCCCTTAAGTCAAATGTGTCTGAATTTGTTGGACCTAATAGGAGCCCAGGGAATTTAGTAGTTGAACTGAATTAAGACTTGCAGGAGGAATGGAGATAGAGTGAGGTGAAGGTCTCATGAGGCAGCCAGAAATAAGGACAGATGCTTAGTCCATAGAGAATAGTTTTTAAAAAAGAAAAAAAAAAAGTTATTTGGAATAGTGTTGAGGTGACATTATTTTTTTTTTAAAGATTTGTTTATTTATTCATACAAGAACTGGGGTGCAGGCCAGAGGTGCAGGGGATGGTGAGAGGATTCATCAGAGACAGTGGGGAGCAAATGGGTCCATTGAGATACACTGCTGAGGGGAGCAGTGGGGAGACAAGAGGGGTCTTGTGGGTCAGCTCCCTGACAGGGGATCAAACTCATGCTGCAGTGGCTCAGGATAGCTTCAAAGTGCTGAGACTTAACCCCTGTGCCACCAGGGAGGCCTGTGTTGCCATTTAAAAGGAATTTAGTAGCTGAAGAGCAGCTATTCTGTGTCCCCCTGCCCCCCACCCCCTCCTCCACACACACACACACACACAGGTCAGTTCTGCTTGAGCAGGGGTCACTCAGGGCTGGACTTTCTTGGGAGAGTCACATCCTTTCTTTTCCATGTATCAACAGGTTGCCTGTGTCTTCTTATTTCTCCGGGGTTTAAGAAGATGAGTCACTGCCTTGGGGGCTACACAGGAGTGGACATTTTAGTGCAGGGTGAAAATCAGGGTGATTTCCTGGGGAGAGGGAGCAAAAGGCTAGACTGCCCAGGGGCAGCCTCCTGCTGCTGGCCAGTTGGCTTTGCACTTCAAAGGCTGCCAGATGGCGTGGGGGAGGGGAGGTCAGGCCTACCTGAAGGGTGGAAAAGAGGAGGTTTGGTCCCTGGAGGAGCTCCCTGGGAGCCAGCTAAGCAGGGCCCAGACCTTGGTGCTTATTTATTTGTGCAGTGGTGTGTGTTTGATTACATCTTGAAAAAGGAGAGAGGGAGGGAGGGACTGAGGGACTGAGAGATTGGAAGGAGACAGGGAGGCGGGCTTGCTCCGAAGTGCTCTGGTGCTCTAGACCCCACTACCAGCCACACAGGCATATTAGGGCCTGTTTGCTTTCTAGTTCCTCCTTCCCCTGCGCCCCAGCCCTTCTGTTCTTTGTCTTAGTGTTTTGTGTAATGTTGACCCTGAAGGCAAGGCAGCTCATTCATCTGGCACTCAGCTAGAAACAACACTTGTCTGGCTGGAGGGAAGAAAAGGAGTCTGAGATGTGAACTTGGTACCAGGGAGCCCTTCTAGACGATTTAAGAGATTTCCAAGGGCAGTTTTCAGTGTGGCAGCCTCCACTTGCGAGCAGCTCTGTAACTGAGCCCGATGTGGGGTGTGATCTGGGAGAGAGGGGTTCTGCAGGCAGAGGCCCAGAGCCCAGCGGCAGTTGCTTCTTGAGGCTCAGGTGGCCTGTGAGGGTCAGTAGTAGGCGGGCTGCAAAGGACACTGTGTGCTGGTGGCCAGCTGGACTTAACCCTGCAGACATGGTCAGCCAGCCACCCCCCACAGGTAGTGGACAGTGGAGCTGGCCACCTTCCATCTGGGGGCTGTGCACACACAGACACAGGTCTCTTGTGTATTAATAAAGGAGAGCCATACGTGGGCGAGCTCCTGGCAGGCAGCTCTCCCGCTGGTGGACGCCAGGCCGCTGTGTCCTCTGTGCACACACACATCACACACAGAGTGGCCTTCACGGTGCCCCTTCCTCCGCATCTGGGAGTTCCTTTGCATTCCTCACAGTTCTCAGACCCAAACCACAGGTGTGTAGTGGTCATGCCCGGTCACCACTGGTCCCTCTGGCCACTTGAGATGCAGCAACCTTGGCCACCCTGCTGCACCTTCAGAATCAATTCCTGGGGGGGGGGTCCCAGGATTTGTGCATTTCCAATATGCCGCTGTTGCTCCATTATGCCCAAAGAGGTGGCTGGTCACCCCTGCAGCCTTCATCATGGGCAGTGATTCTCTGGTGCTAGAGCAGTTTTCGATCCTTGCAAGTGTTCTGCAGAGAGATGACTTAGGCCATCAGCATCCCTGACAGTTGCATTTCTTGCCCTGTTTTTCTGCCGAGTGGTTAGCTGCTTTTTCCCTCTTCGACTTAGGACTGAGGGGCTCTCCACAAAACAAGTCAGCTGCATCTCTACATGCTGTCAAGAGCTATTTGCAGTTTCTTGTGCCTTTTGCTTTGTCCACTCTATTGTCTCACTGGGAAAGTCTCTCTATGAACAAAACAGATGACACAGTGGAGACATGTGTCTGACAGGCGTCCCAGAGGAAGAAGGAAAGGCTGGCAAAGATTTTTTTGAAACTATGGTTATAGAAGGCTTTGCAAGGCCCCAGATGACAATGTCACAGGGCAGGGAGAGGGGCACTCCTGAACCCCCAAACCTGAACTTTAATATAATTAGTGTGTAGTACAGAAAAGACAAAGAATGTAGTTTCTAAGTCAAACACCCAAAGTTACCCATCGCCTCGTGGGTAAAAGTCCACCCAGAAGGGATTGGCCCACAGCAAGGCCTGAAAGCCTGCTACAAGTCTCAAGAACCTTCTGGCCGGGACCCATAGAAAAGGGTCAGAGATGGTCAGACAGGTCTGTGAGGAAAAGAGCAAAATCAAAATCAAGATAAATGGTGCCATAGTCACCTCCCCACAGGTCTCTCACCCACATCTGTTTTAACCAGTTCAGGGCCAAGAACCAAGAGCTGCTTGTCCACATGTCTCCCTGCTCCCTGTGCCTCCCTCAGGTCTCCTTCTGGCTCCATCCTGCTTCATTCCTCTTCAGTCTCCTCTCCAGATTCTTCTCCTCCCTGCTCAGCTGCACCCTCCTTTGGGTGGGGTGGGGAACCTGGGGCCTCCCCTTTTCCCGGGGACCCCTCTGTTACAATAGCAAAGCAGGAGCCCACCTGAGTCCCCCAGAATCCCAGAAGCCGCATCACAGGGATGGCCAGGCAGGCCCTCCTTCCCACCCCCCACCCCCTGTCACTTTGGATCACCCTGTCCTCTGCCAACATGCAGGACAGGTCCTCAGTGTGTAGATAGATTCAACTGTCACCAGGGTCTGAAGCCAGAGATTGTTACAGGTGGCGCCCTCTGGAGGAGGTGCAGGTGAGGATGGAGAACCCCAGGAAAAATGCCAACAAAGTATTGCACTTGGGTGGAGACTGATAAGAACAAGGGGCTGCGGAAACAGCCTCAGGACTCAGCATTAGGGAATCAGCCATTTGGGATGATCAGTAATTGGAGGGGGAGCCAGCGATTACTACCCCCACTGTGCTGATCTCCCAGAAGGCTGGTGCGGCCTCTGAAGGTCACGGAGAGGCTCCAGCAGCCAGAGTCAGAGAGGAAAAGTTTGGAGGCTGTTCAAGTAGCTGAGCTACTGAAACTGCTCCTGATTCTGCTGGATTGCAGCCTGACAAGGAAGGCTGAGACCAGAGCAGGGAGGCGAGGGGCTGGGCTCACTGAGCTTTGAGTGTGGCTCTTTGTAGGGTCCTTCAGCCACCACAGCTACTTTTTTGAATGTCTCGGGTCTGGTGCTGTGCTGGGGCATCTCAGCAGCTCAGTGAGCATCTCCTGTTGTGTGTCTGCTGTCTCTGAGTTGGATCCTGACCAGCTCAGTGATGGGAAGACACCATCTTCGGGCCTTTTGTGTTGCAGACTTTAAAACACTGGACAGGACTTCAGGGGAGTGAACAGCCATTTTGGGCCTCAGTAGCTCTTTGCTTTTCTCTGGTTTGTTAAATAAATCCTGCTATTGTTGTTCTTTGAGCCTGAGTAGTCTTGCAATTGTGTGTGTAGGTGAAAAACTCAGATGGGTCCTCCCTGGTGGTGCAAGGACCACACTATGAAGCTACCCACAGCCACTGCAGCACAAATTTGATCCCCGGCCAGGGAGGTGACCCACATGGCGTGGCGGACCTCTCCTGACCTGTCCACTGCTCCCCTCAGCAGTGTACTTCGTCAGTCAGCCTGCTCTGCTCCCCACTCTGTGTCTAGTAATCCTCTCACTGTCTGCACCTCTGGCTTGATCCCAGTTCTGTATGCATATGCAAATAAATCTTAAAAAAAAAAAAAAAAGAGACCATGACTGGTGAATGGTTTGGGCATGTCATTGGACAGTCTGTTGCCTCTTGCCCTGTATCAAAACTACTTTCCTTCTCAAACTCTGGCTCTTTACTGGCTGAGGCCCTCAGCCCAGCCATCAGCAGCAACTTCTGAAGTCTTTATTAAGAGCTGAATAACACGCTGAAGCAGACTTCGAGTGTTGTCCACACTACAGAGCAGGAGAAAAAGGTGGAGTTGGGGTATGCCTTGGGGCCTGAGATCTTCAAACCCCTCTCCCCCACCAAGTATCTGAGGCTGGCAAAGGAATTGCCATGACTGATCCAGTCTTGGTTTTTGCGTATTGCCTGAAGCACAATTCAGAAAATTCACAACTTTTGATTTAATTAAAATTTTGCTTTAAACTCATAACTACCACAGTCACCTCTATGATATTAACTCCCCCTCCCATCTGTTCCTCTGTTTACCTTTTTGATAAAGGGTCCATCTCGAAGCAGCTGGCCACGTGTGTATTCTGAAAGATGCCCTTGACTTTGAAAGCCCGGCAGAAGTCGCGAGCCTCGTCCAGGCCCGCCAAGTGGACGCTGCCCTGGCCTTGCATCTCTACAGAGGAGGCCGACTTCTGCAAGGTGACCTCCCTCCCCTCTGCAAAGGCGAAACTCAGGCCTAACGTGACCCAGGCATGTCCACGGAAACAGTTTATCCCACTGGTGTCGTTCAGACTGGCAGGGACCCTGTCACTCTGGGCTTTGTCTTTCTCCCTGAGCAATTTTCCTAAAATGGTATCATTACGTCAATTGTGAATGAATGTATATGGAAACTGTTTTTGTTGCTTTGGAGTATTATCCTGAATGTTTGGGTAGATTTTTCCTTGCTCAAAATATCATTTTCAAAAGCTAAAAGTAGCACTCTTTTATACAATATGGAATGAGAAAATACGGAAGATTGCATTCGACTGATTTATTAATAAGGGAATGTCCAAGGTGCCAAAAGTTCATTGAAAGAGCATTTGATGGGCTAGTGGCTAAATAGGCTTTTTCCTAAGGAATATTAGATTTAGATAGCAGGGTCATCACAGAATCCAGTCATGTCCAGATGGTCATGTGCTATGAGCTTCGGGTCTAGTTTTCTGCTGTGTAGTGGCCAGAGTTCTCCAGGAACAGAACCAAGGGGATATATGTGGGAAGCCCCAGGATCTGCTGGGCAGGCTGAAGACTCCAAGGGGTCTGGGATGTGAGTCCCGACCCAGAATATATGAGAACAGCTGTGGGGAGAGGTGTGAGGTGCAGGCCCAAGGACCGTGGGTGAATGTCGGGGGGTGGGGGGTGGGCCTGTGCTGGTGTCTGGGCCCTGGGTGAGTGTCAGGAGTCCCTGGGAGGATGTTGGTGGGTAGGAGGCAACGCTCAGCTCAGACAGAGAGAGGGAAGTGTCCCTTCAGCAGCCCTCCGAGGCCCCGGGCAGCCTGTCCTCCTGGGAGGGGCCAGTCTTTACTCAGTGTCAATTCAAATGCTGATGGCTCCAGGGAGGGGCCAGTTTAGCTGGCCAGGCTGCCCAGGACATCAGTTGCCACACTGCATGAGAAGATTTCACGTCTGCCTGGCACAATGTTGTGAAGTGCTGCGTGTGATCACACTGTTGTGTAGCAACAGTGCACTGCCTTAGGAAATGAAGTGACCCTAAGAAAGCTTTTACACTCTGCCCCGTGGCTCTTGGCTGTTTCTTCCTGACACCCCCGTGTCAGGCTGATGTCCAGCCTCTGGCGCAGTAGCCACCTGCAAGGCAGGACGCTGCCTGTGGCTTTTCCCAGCAGTGGGAACATTCCAGGAGGCTGTGCCATGTGACAGTCCCGAGTCTCCACAGCGCTCGAGTCTGCAGAGTGCGTCAGCCTCTGAGATCCCTGCAGTGCAGCAAGAAGAGCAACTTTCTCTCTGCAGGCTGGTGCCCACTTACTCTCCAGCACCCCACACGGGGGGCCTTTTCTTCAGCCTCGCCCATACCCAGCATGTTCTATTGCGTTGTTTTTAAATTTAAGGCATTCTGTGCACAGGATAGACTCCTCCCCGTAGGGTGAGACCTCAGCTGCATCAGCAGTCAGCCTTCCTCCCCTCTCCTCCTGTGTGTCCCCTGGTGTGACCATAGGGACCTTCTTTTGGTGCATTCTTCCAGAAATATTGTCCTCTACCTGCACCAGCCATTGCATAGCGACATGCAGGAGCTAGGGACTTGGAGCAGTGAGCTGTTACCTGGGGTGGTTGTGGGTCCGGAGCAGGACTTGGGGCTCTCCTCTGTAGTCCCATAGGATAGAGTGGGGAGGAGGAGCCACTGTGGCTAGGTGTGCCCAGGGAGAACCAGCCAGAGAGGGTGGTGGAGCTGCTTGGTCACCCTGCACCAGTACCGCGCGTACCCCAGGGCCTACACCCCATGGTTACAGGTCAGCCCTCTCCTGAGGACCACGCAGAGCCCCTAGGTGCTGTGTTTCGGGGCTGCCTGTGCCCTCCTCCATCTGTGTTTATCTCCTCCCTTAAACCCAAATTGGTATTCCCAGTATGTTCAGCCTCTTGGCTTTTTACAACTGAGCAATGCCCCCTGGAATGTGCCCTCCCCCTGGGAGGCACTTAGGCCTCAGGGCTGGTGGGGGGGGGCTGAGGGGTGGGGAAGGCTGCCTCTGGCACAGGGTGGAGCTTCAGCTGCCCCTCTTGCTATCTCCTGCTGTCAGGCAGCCACTGTCTTTGCACAGGCCTGCTGCCTTGTGAGCCACCAGCATCAGTGTCCCTGTGTCTTGGTGACCTGGCCCTGCCACCCAAAGGAGATGATTCTATAATGGGAATGAGGGTTCTGGAGTTCAATCCCTGCTGACCACATGGGTTGCGCCCCTGCTAAGTGTACAGGTCCCGGCCGGTGAACCCCAACACCAGAAACAAAGATGGGGGTTTCTCCTCTTAAGACTCAGGTTTAATGTAAGAACTAAGAACGATGCTTCTCATAAGAACTATAAGAGGGAAAAAGCCCTTTCCCAAGCCTATAGCGTGGCTGTGGACACTGTTTCACTGCTTAGTTTAGCAAGGATCAAGATCAGCCACAGCTCCCTTCTTGAGGGTCTGGAGAAATTGCATTGCTCTCGCTTGCCGTCTCTGTGGAAGGACAGCACTGCTTATTCCTATAACTGTCGTTTGTGAGTCACACTTAGTCTGAGCAGCGTGGCCGAGGAGCCCAGGACTGGGGCCGGTCAGCCGACATGTGGCCAAGCATCTGCCTTTGATCATAGACGGCCGCCCTGGGCCCGAGCCGCCTTGCTGACTACTACCCACGTGTGTCCCCCTGAGACCGCCCCCCAGGCCTGACAGTCCTGCTAGTGTACTTTTCCATGTAGAGCATTTGTGGAAATTTGTACTGCCTGAGTAGACTGTTGGAAAGAAAGCTTCATAAAAATACAAAGGGGGGACTCCGGGGGTCCTTGAGGACAGCCTGTCTTTGTCCCCTCCCCTCCCGTCCTTGCCCTGAGCAGTCATGGTCAGCAGCTGGGGAGGCCAGAGCACCTGATGACTTGCTGGGGTGATGACATGTGGTGGCCCCCACATGTTAAAATGTCTGCGGGTTAAAATGTCCGGCAATTGGTTGAAGTTGCCCTGACCCAGCAGCAGTGGGCACAGGTGGGCCCGAGTCCAGTTGGTGGTGTGGAGAGCCTCCAGCCCCGGGAAATGTGGGTAAGGCTGCAGGCCTGGCCTTCGCTGGGCTGGGTCCTGGGCGCCCAGGCTGGTTTCTGCTCCAGCAGGGGTGGAGGAGTGGCCGGGCCCTCTGAACTCAGCTCCTGCCGGCCCCTCTCCACAGGTCTGCACGTCCCTTTTGGAATCATCTTTGGCGGAACCGATTTAAATGAAGACGTGAACCAGAGAGAAAAGAATGAAGTGATGGGGAAAGTCCTTGAAGAAGCCAGGTGAGGCCCGAGGGGGTGTCCCACCAGCGCGGCGTGGAGCGTGGGTGGATTCACGATGGGAAAGGGCCACCCAGCGGCACGTCTTCCTCTTCCCTTCAGTGCTGAGTCCCGCCCACCGCCCTTGAGTGTCCCTCCCACAGTTCTCTCTGGATGGCCATTCTCAGGAGGGGTGCCCAAAGATGGGTGCTCTGGGCATGCTGGGGTGCAGGAGCCCCTGCTTCCTGCAAGGCAGCCCCTCCTCCTGCCCCATCCTCCCTTCTCACCCACCAGTGACATGCCCACTGGGTTTCCGGTGCAGCCACATGGGCCTCCTGGTGGACAGTTCTTTGTTGTGGGGGTCAGTCTGCACCCCCCCAACCCTGGACAAGACTGGGCAGCCCCTACACCTCACAGGCTCAGCCCCTGCCCGGCCCCACATGGGGTCACTGTCCTTGGGTGAGTCAGTGTAGAGCTCGCCCTCTTATCCTGCTGGGGGGCATTGGTGCCCATCTGGAGGGAGCAAAAGGCCAGTGAGCAAGGAGCGCTTTGTCTTCCCAGCCACATGGGTACAGCAAGGATCTAGGGTGGTGCCAATGTCCACCCTCAGCCATGTGTCTGATGCTCCACACGCTCTTATGATGACTGTGCCTTCAGCTCTAGAAGGAGCCCCCCAAAAGCCAAGCCCCCCCAAGCCCATAGCCAGCCTGAGAACAACACTACACAAATCATCTCTGTGTCAATGTGGTGAAAAGAGTGATGATGTCAACAGAAAGCTAAATGTACATGAGTGCCCAGATGGAGGGCCACCCCACTGAGAGGTCATGAGGTCACTGGAGGCTTCTGGGGTGACCCCACAGGAAGGCGGGCTGCTGTGACTTCCTCTTGACTGCAAGTCACTGTTAGCAGGAGGTCCCTTGTAATGTGGATGCACAGACTTATTATGCCGTAGAAAGCCCGCCTTGTGGAGGCCTGCTTGACTTACAAGAGCTGGATATGACCGATGTAGACAGCTTGATGAGGATGGTGGTGAGCATGCATCCCAGCAACCACCCACCTCTTCCAACCCTCCCCATGTCACCTCCCAAGCTCTTCATTATGGTGTTTAAAGATTTACTTATTTAGGCCCTCCCTGGTGGCGCAGCGGGTTAAAGCACAGCAGTGAGAATCTGAAGCC